ACATGTAGCAAGGAAGCTCAAGTCCCGCTTTTTAAGTGTAGGCCGTGCTGGAAAAAACTTGTCAGTTAAAGTTTACGAAACAAACTCCACTGTTGGGAGTGTGATTGCTACATATCTAAAAAAAATAATTTGAGAGAAGCAAGAGACTGACACTGAGAAGATATCTTTTAAATGCAGAAACAGTACAGTTGAAAGTAGCTAAAAGGTGCGAAGAATATTTGAATACTGCAAAATAACAGTAATAGTAATCAACTACATCAGTTTAACGTGCAAATAATCAGTAAACCCTTGTGTCCCTGCAACATCTGAGAAAGTGGTGAAAATTGGAAAGATGGAGCAGAACTTTTTCTTCAGTATAGCAGCATATAGAGAGGGCTAAAGGCCTAGTAACTGTATCCACATATTTACCTATTGTCTTATGTCTCTTTTCCCACTTTTGTTTCTCAGATAACTTGGCTGGGTTTTGTCCTGTAATTATGATTCCAGTGGCAATTTAAGTGGCAACTTAAAGCCCAGTTTCCTGATACCTATATTAGCTAGCCTGCAGATTGCCCTTAGGGTATTTGACAGTGTTAAGGGATGGTAACAGGAAATAGAGGCCACGGTTCTGAAACAGGCTTGTTCGATACACGCAGTTGGTTAAATTGATGTGTGTTTATTCTCTTTTGAAATGCTGATATACCAGTCAGTGATAACCTTTATGATTATAATCATGGGCTCCCTGAAAGGGACATGAGCAGAAACACGTGCCCTGTTGATGGCTCGAGGCTGTCAGGGAATACTGTGCTTTCACAACAGCTGGTGCTGTCCTGAAGTCTCAGTTAGCAAGTTCCACAAGTCAAACGGGCTGATGATGCACAGTCTTGCAGACCTCTAAAATGATTACAGCACAGGTATGCTTGCCAGTGCCAAACTACTGTGCCATATACTGAAGGAGGTTTAGCGTGCCCAACTTCGAGAGGATAGGGGCTACCTACTTTAGGTTCATCATGAGGGCCTAGAAACAGGTAATGCTGTAGCTCCAAAAATGGTTCTAGCTCTTGGCAAAAACAGCCCTCAAGGTAAATTTCTTTAAATTATGAAGACTTTCCAGTATTTTTGAGATAGGTTCTTCTTTTAAACAAAGAAATATAAGATTTATTCTTCACAGTGAAAAAAGTCTCCATATGTTTTCTTGACACTGGATCCTAATTTAATTCAAGTTGATTCAGGCAGGGATTCATAGATGAAACTTATCACCTCACACAAACAGATTTCCATTTTCTAGTATTCTATAACACAAATAAGATACACCCACATATGATTGAAATAATCATTATCATGAGCTCATCTAGGTTGCCAGGTTAAAGCTGTTGTATATTCATTTTGTATTACATGGTGAAGAATTCCAAAAGTTGCTTACCGCACAGTCACAGAAGTTAAAGACAAAAGGAGCCATTAATATCTTACCCATCTTTAGCTCTTGCTTTTGGCTCTGCTTGATTGCTCCCTTTACCTTATTCAATACTTCAATTCAGATTTCAAGGCGGGCAGGGGGAGCCTTGAAGGGACATTTTTAATTTGACTCTACCACCTAACCTTATGCCTCACTTTTAATAAAAAGTGACTAGCATATAATCTTTGATTTTTTTTTTTACACACAATTTTAATTACTGATGATTGTCTTTCTTTTTAAATATGGCACATTGCCAGATACAAGTCTGGATACAAGAGTTATTTTGAGACTGAACTTGGCTTTTGGGGCAAAGACCGAAACCATATTCTTTAAAATGAAGAGTCAATGAGATTTCTGGCATTTATTTTGGACTAAAATTATTTGAGCTGCTTATTTATCTCAAGGAAAGCTAATATGTATATCTTCATGTATGTTTCTCAGTGCTTTGATTGTTACAAGCATAGTTCTTTGATTTATTCTTAGCCATTGTTTTCAAAAAGAGAAGAAATAGTCTTCTTATGCGGAATCATGTTAAAGAACTGTGGAATATGGAAATACTGTATACATGATGTCTTTATCTTTCTTCAGATATAGTTAATTACAGTGTAATAGTATGTTAAGTGAATGCAGAGCAGTGCCTCGTCTTGGCAAGATTCCTTACGCGTATTTTGCATTTTTCAGGAAAGTAAATATGTTAACATAGTTTTGCAAATTTTTTAAGAAGAGACAAGTCTTCACAGATTAATTTTCTTAGCTTAGAGATTTAAAATAGGCTGGAAGAATAGAAAAGAGAATTCTTTTTCAATTCTGAAAAAGGAGATCTAGGAGGTAACACATTATAACCTCATTAGAGACTATAAAATCATACTACTGTTAATTTATATATAGACTTAACTGTCCTGCAGAGATAACAGTAGACGGAGTGGCCTGGGTTTCATAAAAATTGGCCTACTAAATATATACATTTTCAACTCACCAAATTAAAAAAAAAGAGAGAATATCATTAGAACTCATAAACCTGTTTTTATAGACAGTAAATCAGAAGGATGTCATTAGTTGACTTCTGATCCACAATGAAAGAATTTGAAATCTGATGACATAACTATGGGCAGTAGGATGTAAGGAATGAAGAGTATGTTACTCTATTTTGCATCAACAGAAGGCAAAGAGGTACACTACCCTCTGTATTGTTAAGCATGACTTAATATAACAACCTGCTGTGTTCATTGCAAGTCTCAGAATGGGGTCAATTTAAATGACCTGAGCCATCCAAATCCACTGATGAGCTCTGTAAAAGAGGCAGAAAAAAAGAGCACAAAGTACTGTTGGAGATTTGAAGGAAGTAACAAGAAAAATAGGACAGAAAATTATAGAGCTAAATAGATCATTGCGAGTCAATGGATTTATTATACGATGGCTCTGCAGCAATCTGGGGAAATGTTTAGTGCAAAGTCAATTTCAAAGGCAAGAGGAATCCTTAATATGACTACTAATAAGCTATCAAGTATAATAGAAAAAAGGTCTGAAGATGAAAACAGGGGGCATGAGAAAATGTGCACATCTCCCAGCTGGCTGCCGTGACGAAACTGATTCTCCAGCCAAAGAGGTTAATCAGAGCACTGCAAGAGTGTTACATTTCAGCTGCTACAACAGGTCCTCCTATGGACCTTGGGTTTCCTCAATAGCCACAGTGAACACGTGCTATCTAGCCCAGCGTGCAGTTAGACAATCTCTCTCTGAAAGCATCAAATCTGCACGGCATTTGTGTGTGCAAGCTGTGATTTTGTAACAGGAGCAGTAAGTCACAACTTTTGGAAACACATGACCTAGCACACCTACACGATACCAGCACAATGCACATGAGCAACGGACATGAGCAAGGTTTCTGGATACATAGCACATACTGATGAGAGACCCCACCATTGTGCCATTTGTACAAAAGCAGTTTGTAGTACTGCTAGAACCTTTCTCAAAAATAAGGCTACGAAACATCCAGGATCCCACAGAAAGGGGAATCCCTAGAGAGATTTCTATGAGAAAAAGATGATCTGTCGAGGAGAGGCTTGGCATACGATAATCTTATAAAGCGATAAGAAGCTCTCCGACAAGCTGGCCTGTTATTGGATAATCAGACATATCAGGAAGCTAGACTGTTTAAATGTGTAAGGTTACAGTTTAACAACTGAGGAAATAAAGACACAGGTAAAACACAGGCATATGTTTTCTTTCCTAATAATTTTTTTCAGTTGTGCAGGCTTTAAAAAAAAAAAAACAACTACAGTGAAGGTAGTCAAATTCTAGTGACCTCAGTGGGCAGTGCACATGGCTAAACAAGATGAGCTAAGGTTTTAATGGAAAACAATTTGATAGCATTAAGCTTGAGGATGAAGCTGACACGGAAACTCAATGAGCAGTGCTGAGTATGGCCTGAGAAGACCCCTGAGATGGCACAGTGGTGGGAAACATGCCTTGACAGGAAGAAGAGAACAGCTAAGAACATATGTGATCCAGACCAACTTCACTAGTTTAAACTATATCTTGCAGTGCCATTGCTCTCCCAACCCACCTTTCACTCCAGCTGCTATGATGAGTGCTACTATATTAACTTACCCGAAACACTGTTTCATCTGGATGGATATCACTGAGAACATACCAGGGTAAAAGGCCCAGAATTACTTTAAATTGCTGTTGTATTCTGTTCTACAAGATGACTTCCAGGAGATCTCATCTGCCCTACCTAAAATGTATTTCATCTGTGTATCACAAAATAGTAACTGTACAGAGGATTGTGAGGCTTAGTGAATGTGAAGGGCTTTGAATGCAAAAACATGCAAGTTTTGCATATTATGCGGGAAATTTTATTTCCATTTTACTGTGGCTAAACTAAGGCATAGAGTCATATTAACTTTTTAGGATGTTATAGTGCATAACTGTTAGAACTAGTAATAAAACTCTTATGTCTAAATCCCACTCCTATCACCCTAGAAAAGATTCTCCCTTTGTAGTTATTAGCTCTTTTTAAAATATTTTAACCATTTTTTATGTTACCTTACATTAATAAGGCACATGTTACAACTAAGTTACAAGGTAGGAGGTTTACCTGACAGTAGTAATGACGACTGTGGATGAATGTGACTGTGGCCCCAATTGTAGACTCATAGGAAATCAAATATTAGTTTTTATTCTCAATTTTCTTCCTTTTACTTAATTTTACAGACACAAAACTCCCCATGTTTCCTAATGCTGCATCAAGCCTTAACCATATGCTATTACTCTGATATTAGCAGGCAGAATTGATCAAGTCTGACGACTCATAAACAAGAGTCAGGTGTTTCTTCCTGCTTAAAGAAACTAGCTTGTGTCCAGGACTGCATCTATCCAAGTGATAATTCTTCAGTGTAAGATTACTCAAAAGGCATTGTGACCTCTCACCAGCCAGTACAAAAGCTCTCATTACAGGAGTTAGTTTCCTGAAATTTCACTTTAATATTGTTGGCTCCTGTTCAATAAATAATAATGAGATCAATGCGAGAATGTTCCCCCCCCCCTTTTTTTTTTTCTACAGTGAAATTCGAAATCTTAGAAACTTGGGTTACATAGATCCAGATGCCTTTAAGAACCTCCCACTGTTGAAATACCTGTAAGTATTTGGCACCTGTAAGTGGTCGGCACTTAACGCTCACAGATGACTCTTGAAAGTCTTCAGAGTATAGCAGTTTTGCTTCTTTTCTTTTCATCTTGGAGCCTGTTGCAATGTTTTTCCCTATTGCTTTATTTTAAAAACAGAAAGCCTGCTTGGTTAGACCTTTGCTTTTGCTAGAAAGGGAAAAATGCTCACAAATTCATTAGTAACTTTGTCATTCTTCTTATCTATTAAATAGCTAAGATGTACAGACATTTGCCTGGTAAAAGTCTACAGCTAGTATTCTATTAAGGATTAGAATTGTCTTACCATATTTGGGTTGGGAATACTGGAAAGAGGGACACAATAGAAATATGCACATCTTTCATACTTACAGATATATATATCTATGTAAATACCCATCAGCTACACCCAACAAGCTAATCTGTAGACACCAGTTTTCATATAATTTCCATGGCAGAGAGAGGCCTGGAGAGTTCCTCCATATTCCCAAGAAGTTTCTCAAGAGCAGCACAGAGTAATGAAACCCTGAAATTACAAAATCAGAGCATAAGAGAATGAGGAAGAGAAAAAGCATAACTTCTATGATTTTGAGTAGTGTTAGGAAGACTGTAGAAAGGGTGGTATGCATGTGGTAGGGGTAGCAACGAGGAGGAAATATTTTCCAGATTTTTCCAATGTATCTGGAAGCAATAAAAAGAGTATAATCAGAATTATTTTATTTCAGGAAAATAGTTTTCAAATTTGATAACTATATTTTCTTAAGTTATTTTCACTCTACAGGAGTTCAGAAATAAGGAGCATTACCTGTATTCATGTAAAATTTGACAGTTGGAACACCAGATTGTTTCTCTTTTTAGAAGTATTTAGAGATATTTTCTTAGCCTCAATAAATGATAGAGAATTTGGGGGTCCAACTTACTGTTTGAAGCAGCCTAAATCTGCCAAGTGAATCTGGAGTTATAATTATTTTTCCCCTACCATTTTCACTGGCTACTTCCCTCTGCAGATCTGCTTAGCTATCTTATTATTCCAAATTTACATCTTTTAGATTCTACGATTTATCATAGCATCTGATATTTTGACTTGTTACTTGTTCTACTGTCCTTATATTTTAACAGTTGATTACATGCAAACTGATTGCCAATGGAATATGAAATAACCATCCTGCACTGTTGAATGCTCTAAAGTGACTTTTTTTTTTCTTTCCTTTTTTATTTTCAGTAGTCTGCTTCATGTAATTTTCTCTGTTTCTCCTCTGTTTTAGTGGGATTTTTAATACTGGACTCAAAGTATTTCCTGACCTCACCAAAATCTATTCATCTGATGTGAACTTTTTGCTGTAAGTATCTGTTCTCATAGCTGGCAAGAACACTGCTGACTTCAGACCACAAGAAACCCTACAGTGAAGGCTTCCATTTTAAAGAAAAGTATCAAATAAGTCTGCCAAAACAAGTTATGTTCCTCAAGTTATAGTTCAATAATCATTAATACCAAATCTAGGAAATGCTGGATCATCTAGCATCATAAGTTTGATCTGGATGAGACTTGGACACACGGACAGACAATCACATTTCTCTTGAATCAACCAAAGGTCAGGAATGTTTTTTTTGGCACAGCGCATGTACATCCATCCTGCAGCCCCCAAAATACCTCAGAGCCTCCTAAATCTTTGTGCCACAACATACATAGCTTGGAGCAAATCACAGAACAATTTCTTGGAGAAAGAGAGGGAATATAGATGTAGGGCATCTCCCACTGTTATCCTTATAGAGAGAAACAAGAGTTCTCCTTCCAACAAGCAGGTGTTTGCTGGCACTCAGAAAGCAAAGTCTACATCCATCTCCGTGTACTAGCCTTTCACAATTCCAAACTCTGAGCTGCAATCAAGCCAAAGCCTGGATGAAGGCTTGCATGTAGAGGAGACACAAGGTAGAAGCATCTTGGCCACTACTTAATCCTAGAGAGGAGTTAGCAATATATATAAATCATAGCAGCATTTGCCTGGAAGAGTCTTGACTGCTAGATGGACTAGGAAAAGGCTAATAACAATCAGAAGTGTTGTGATAGAAGGTTACCTGCCAAAACACAACCACAGGTCAACTACCTCAGGAGCTGTTTCAGTGCTACTAAGAGGTGTTCTTAGTCAGACTGGTCATAATCCGCACTGCGTTCATGGTCTGCTGCTGGCGAGGAAAAACCTCAGAGAGATGCAGAAATACCAGATTTTTGCTACAGAAGCTACACCTGCAGGCTATAACTTCCCTCCGAAGGATCTGCTGTTACACCTGCTACCCAAAGCAGCAGGTACCATACTCTAGCCTCAGACTACCTCACACACCATAACCTGGAGCTGCTACATTTGGCTTGATCTTTAGGCTGGAAGCCCGAGTCAGCCAGAGCCTGAGGCAGATACACCTGCATCTGAGGCATATACATCTGCATCTTCTGAAGAAGAACTAGGGAGTTCCCTGAAGACCAAACAGCCTTTAGACTTAGACAAAGCTCTCTTAGATTGTAAATTAGAACACTACTCAGATTAAACAGAGAGAGTTGGAAGAGAACAGCCTAAAACAGAAGCAAAAAGAGTTTATACCACCCTCCATTTGTGTCTTTGCTTTCAGCCAACTCAATGACTTCCTAAGCGACAGTAAGATCTGCTCACTCGCTCAAGCCCCTAGCAACTGCCTTTCATCACCTCTAAGGCCTATCTGTCTGCTCTCTGCCTCTCTCAGCTATTTCTACACTAATTCCAGGTTCCTAAATCCATACTGCAAATCTCTTGCCTGCTACTCATTGTAATCTCTCAAAAACCTTCTCTCTATGCTCATTATAGAGCATGCTCAGTAGCACCTTAAGAAAAGGATCAATTTATCAATTTATCTCTCCCTTCAAGGATTTGCACCTGACACAGTCAGGTTCCTTCTTAAAGGAACATAACAGCTGAGACCTCACGAGGAAATATCACCTGCTGCATCATCATTAGGGTTTGTTTCTTATCTTCAGATTACACTGTTCTTGATTTTCCTATATTACACTTGGTCCGTATGTAATCACCACATAGACGTGGGTGTCTACCAAGATAGATGTCAAGAGACAGTTTCTGTTTCTTGAAGAATAATTCTGTTCTTGAAGAATAATAGGTTTCTAAATGATGAATAAGGTATAACTGTGGAAAAAAGCATTGTTTATATCCATATTGGCTTTTGCGGTCACTCGGCAAACTTCAAAAAGTAAATATTTGTTTTAGAAAAGTAAACCAATCTGAAAAAATGGCAAACCAAAACAATTTGTCATTGAAACCACCTATCAGTGAAAACTGCTTAGAATGAAGTTCCTGCCAGCTCTTTCCTCTCTCTTTCCTTTCTTCAGTTCAGTTGTAGTGAATCTCTTCAGTTTTCTTTTACTTCTTTTACCACACTAGAGTTTTGCTCTGAGCATAAATTGACTTTCTGGAGACTGCAGAGTGGGATTTAAAAAGTATTCAAGAAATGGCAGACAGTAAAACACTCATTTGGACAAGAGAAGAATCATTAGATTAGGCTGCATAGTAATTTGTTTATTTCCTTTGTGCTAGATGCAGTTCTGTAAAGTGAAATGTCTCTGTCTTGAATAATATATCTATTTGTAAACTTGTTAATGTTTAACTGAGCTCAGCTAAAGAACAGGATCTGAGCTTTAAATTAATTTGGGCTAACTCAATTGACATTGCAGCATGACGTACCTTCCTGATTCTTTGGCTTATAAGAGAAGGGATTAGTGTGTGCTGATAACTACTAGAATCACGCAGGTTAGGCACACCTTACCAAGATTATACAACTCATCTACTGCAAAAGCTCTCTTCTTGAATGCTAGAAGGTGCTTGATTCTTAGCCTTTCCATATACAGCTTTAGGACTTAGGTATAACTAACCAATTATATTTATATTGATTATCTAGGCAGAAAACATTTAATAATAAAACTATTTTAGAGAATCTGCTCTGTTATGCAGATGTTTGATTGTGATTTTTTGTTTCCTTTTTCAGTGAAATTGCAGATAATCCATTCATGACTTCAGTGCCTGCAAATGCTTTCCATGGGCTCTGTAATGAATCTCTTACTCTGTAAGTTCTCCCAGTTCTCTTTAAGTCACAAAGCAGTCACATTGCCTTGGTCTATCAAACGTATGATAACACGTTAAAAATAACTCGGTCCTACTCTCTAGTAGTTTGTAACAGAGAAACATCATAGACAAGCATTATCCATCATATAGGTTACATAAATCCTTTGACAGTGATTTGAATGAGGTCTTTTGCTTTTTGTTAGACTGGTTTATGCTAAGCATTAAAAATACCCCAGAATATAGTATGATTATAATGGCAGAGAACAGTTATATTGGAGAAAATCAAAGAGGAAAATTTGCAGAGTTCTACTTCTATTAAGCTACAGCATGCTTAGAACTGTGTCAAACTTTTTTTTGCAACCTAAGTGCATACGAACACATACGAACGGGTGGCAAGTGGCAGAGGAGCCAGATCTGAGGTGAAAGAAATGTTAAACACAGTTCAGTTATACAAGTCAAAATCAGTGTGAGCCACAGGAAAGGATGGAGGGGAAGGGAGAGAAAATGACTATGAGATAGGGAAGTGAGCACTGAGCAAAAAGAAAGAATTCCGCAAATTCAGCCAGGCCTTACATTAAAACCACACTTATTTTGTTATGTATTTCCTTTAGCCTTCCTTAATCAGTCTTTGCAGGATTTTGTTTCCTTGATTTTAGCTTGAGGGTGAGAAAATTATGGGAAAGTCTTTTAGTCTTGTTCTATCTTTGTTGTAGAAAGAAGTAAAAGATAGCACACCTGCCACATGGTGTTCTTGATTCAGCTACACTCAAAAATGCTGCTGGGCATCTGTTTGACCTTGTGCTATAATTGTTTCTTCTTCAAGAGATTAAAATTAACTATCTATAAATGTGCTGTTGCTGAGAAAAATGATACATAAGACGTTAGGTATTTAGTTATTGAAACATCTCAAAATAAACTAATGTTTTTTTTTACTTGCAGCAAATTGTACAATAATGGTTTTACCAGCATCCAAGGCCATGCTTTTAATGGGACAAATCTGGATGCTGTGTAAGTAGCAGATCATTCTTTTCTTTCAGAAAAAAAAATTTATGATGAACACTTTATGCCTGTTTGAGGCTCTCAAATACATACATTATTCTAATTGTTTTTAAGGAGTAAGGAAAGGATATTAATTTGAGTTAACAATAACAATATGGGCTTTTTAATGTCTTTTACAGTGTGCTTTGATCTGATATACTTTTTTATATCTTAGAAATAAAATCATGGCAGGTAAGTCCAGTGTAAATTTTGATTAACTTTCCGGCTTGAAGCTACATCTGTCAATAACATTTCTTTTGATCATTAATATTGCTAAGATAATTTCAGAAATAATTATGCTGCTGTATTTACAAGGTAGATTATTTTAATAAGTGTAATAAAGATAATACCAGCAGCCATTTTACAGAAACCTTTTCTCTGGAAAAAAGGAGAGTGGTATAAGGTGTTGGGAGCGGTTGAGAAGAACCAGTCATTTGCACTGGAAATGAGAGATGGACATGGCAAAAGCATGAAGCAACCATTCCATTTTTCCCATTACCTTCTTTCATAGTAGTTTCTGGGAAACTACTGTGTCATGCATGAATGACCTTTTCATACCATACACATAATAATGTGCATCAATCGTTTGCAAAGGACAAATCGCAAAAGACTGTAGAGGTTCCACTTTCTCAAAGCATATTCAGCTCCTGCAGACAGGGCTTGACTGAAGAGTCTGGCGGGAGGTCTCATGAGAAAGAGATTTCTTCATCGTGGGTTCCTAAATTAACCAGAGAGGTATATTAGGATACGTATGATTAATTTTGGTACTCCTTTGTTTTAAAAAGTGTTTGAATTCTATAATAATGGTATTCTTCACATGCTCTTAATCTTTTCAAACTGCCTTTATTCCCTTAACAGCTGGACAGACTTCCTGAACTTTGGAAAGGTTCAAGTTTAATTAAAGATTTGGGATAGGTCTTATTTCACTCACGTTGGTTCAGTTACATTGAACTTTCATATGAGACAGGAAGTTTTTCATGATGACATAGTACTTGTACTAGTGCCCACAGAAATCACAAAAAGTAAAATTTGGTGAATGGAATCCAGTATCTTGACTGAATCCTTCTCAGCTGTATATGCAACACTTAATATTTTTTCTAAGGCTTAGCCAATATATGAACTGTGCTCAGCTCGTATATTTCTTTTATTTTTACATTTTGATGAAACACAGTTTGGAGTTGAATTTCCAAGAATTTTTCTTTTTGTTTCTCTGCTAGTTTGCAAGTACTATTACTTCTGGCTTCACTGGAATTTTTCTTGTTATTGAAGAATTAAGTGAAAATGTAGTTTAATAGGGAGCCCTAAACATCTGCTTTATTGGACTGGCTAGAAGTAGAGAAGCAGACAACACATACCAGGTTCTGCAGATACTGTTCACTTTCTTTTAGAAAAAGTTTACAATTAATATTGTTTAAGTGAAGCTTTCCAGAGACTGGCTGTGATGTCCTAGTTATGTAAATAAAAAAAAGAGAACCAAAAACTTGCTTACCTTCAGGGCTTCTTCCACCAAGAGTAAAAATGGTTCATTACAACACAGTTTTCTCCTAATTAAATCATATGACATTACCTGGAGCAAAGCACCATCCCAGATTTACAAAGTAAACTAGGTAGCAGAACATCAGTGGTAATCTGTTCAATAAACTATATTGAAATTTCTAAGTTGATTTTCTGAAGTTGTTTGTTTACCCTATTGCAAGATAAGGTATAATTTTATTAAGTGAAAGCTCGGAGATTTGTTGTTTCTAGCAGCAACATTAAGTTAATGCAAAAGGCAAATATTTCATTTTCTGTAATCTGACATTCTAAATTAAACTCCTGTTTATCCAACACTGTGCAGTGAAGAATGTACCTATTCCCTCTGGGTCTGATCCAAGGCCCTTTGGACTTCAGGAAAAAGAAGAGAAAAAAAGAGGAAGAGAGTGAGGGAAATAAATTTTAATGGGTTTTAAATGACAGCCTCAAGGAGGAAAACAAGCAGAAAAGGGAAAAGAAAAATTCATTTTTGATTAATCATTGGAAGGCCCTATATTCCATCTATTAATCATAACCAATTTTGGGAATCTCAGAGGATGTCTTCTACCATGCAGTGTGCCTTTCAACCACTCTTGCAGTACTGCAAAACTTGTGTCATTCAGGAGAGCAAAACCAAGCAATGCAGATATGTGCTCTAATGTTTTCCATTACTTTTCCACACTAAGTAATGATGCTCCCCATTAAATCTTCTCATCCAACAAGCATCTGTGCTTTACAGCAAACATTGGTAGCAATGTATATGTTTTACTGCTGCTTTAAAAAGGCAGGGAAGTAAAAGAACATGAATGAGGGAGGCAAATAATATTTTAACTGAACAGTGTTCCTCTGAAACGCAGATTCCCCATTCTAATGTATCATTAATATCCAGTGTGAACTGCATCCCTCCATCTGACTTCTGCAAAGTGCTGCTCCTGTAGCAATGCTTATTTCTGCAAGGAAGTTGGTGGGGAAAGAAGTTTATAAAAAAATATTTCCAGTGAATGCCTAAATCTATTTGAGATGTGCTTTTACAGAGCTGTCTAAATTACTGACATGGAAAGTGTACAATCTCAACATCTAATTAAAAAAATAAACCCCCAAATAATCTATTTGGGTCACAAGTAGTATACGGTCACAGAGATCATTCAAAATGCTTGGCTGAGATCAGAGTCAAGACAAACAATAATGTAATAGAAGTATATGACTCCTTAGTATTGCTCATTTACCAGTGCATCTCTTTTCCCTGTTCTCTCTTCCTTTTCTTTAACTTCGTTTCATGATACAACAGGAAATATAAATAGACTAACATGTTACATGTCCAGAGGCCGTTTAACATTATAGTGGTGATACTTAAATGTGCGGCTATCATGTTGGTTTTTTTCCTCATTTATTAAGCTCTGCTGGCTTATTTTAAAATCAGAAGATGAAAGAAAGCAGATCCTATCAATTAATACATATTTAGCCAATGAGACATTCTTACTAGGAACCTCAGGAATTTTACTCAGTTTGTCACCTACTTAGATGTCAAAAAGAGTTCTTTAGTAAAGGATCCTTTGAAATAAAATGTTGAAAGAACTCCCTTCCTCATTCTTATCCCATGCCAAAGACCATCACTCGATCTGTTGATAAAACTGGTTGTGGGACTACAATAAACTTTAGCTGTGAAATAATCCAACCAAAAAAAGCAGGAGAAAGGTGTGTCCAGCTGTAGTAAGGGGGATGGTATGAATGACATTGGACTATGGAAGAAGAGAAGTAGAAATCTTTTACACAGTCTCTGAATTGACTCAGTTTTGGAAAAATATGAAGGAAGACTACTTACACTCTGAATTGAATTCATGGAAGCAGAAAAGGGGGAAATCAGAGAGGATCCCCAGGCAACAAAGGTGCATTGCTGGGTCAGTCATAATCTTGTTAGAAAAACAAGAATGTGAGAGTAGAGGGTTTGGGCAGGAGAGTTTTGCAGTTTCTTTTGGTTGACTTAGTTCCTTTCTTTACTGTCAACATTAATCAGAAAAAAAAGTATTAGAAAGATAAACAAAGATATTGGAGCTTCCACAGCTTAACTGCAGTTTGTGTGGAGAACCACCTCTTTCTGTTCACTCTGAACCTGTCCCCTGCTAACTTCCTTTGATGTCCCCTCACTCTTGGACTGGAAGAGGCAACAAACAACTGATCCTTACCTGGTAACACATTACTTAAGATTTTGTAGACCTCTATCATATGTTCTTTCAGTTGTCCCGTTTCCAGGCTTTTTTTTTTAAAGCCATTCATGTTACCCTTTGCTGAAACTTTTACAATTCTTTTTTTTTTTTTTGAGGGAAACTGGAACTGAGCATTTTTCCTATGGAACTGGAGTCCATAGGGACTCCATACTATGCATTGAAAAGGCTAGATTATTGAACTAATCTCATGAAAAGCCCTCTTTTGCTTATAGCACTATGACACCATCAGCATGGCCTGCTCTGTATTTTCTGTACGCTTTACACCCCAGTATTAGGCTGGGTTTCTCTCTGGTTGCCTGCATTCCACCAAATTTCCAGAATGACTGTTATGCTGGCATACTCTACTTAATATAAATATTTCACTTCACCCATGTGATTTCATAGACTCCTAACATTTGTTAGCATGTGGGTACCACTGCTTTTGTTTTCTTTTCTGAACTGTATTTAAATGGCATTCTGCAGCATTTAACTATCAGTAAAAGCAAGATTAAAGTCACTCTCAGAAGCAGCTATGCCAGCTATACATAAACTTTCTTTGTCAAATGAGTATTTACCAAAGACAGTCTTTCCTTCCAGTTAACAAAGGTAACTATCAAAAATAAAAGGGCTTAAACAACTGAAATCAATTAGTGTCAGGAAATCGTACATTCTGATGGGCCTGACTCATCTAGTAAAACTGGCAGCTAACACTGTAGCCTTGCCTTTGTAACGCATGGTTATGAACTTCCCATAAGCCTCTAGCTGGCTGTTTCTATTTGTAAGTTTGAAGATGTTTATCACATATGTAAACTATTATATTTCAGGTTTATCACTCACACTGGTGTTCAAATGTCAGGGGAAATATTTCAAAATTGGGCAAGCAATTATCTGGTTGTATAATATTTTCTAGTGATTAGAACAGACAGTTTTTTTAGGTCAGGCAGGTTTACTTGTCCTTCAAAACTATGATGTGGTTGTTTAAATCTTGGATTAATTCTTACCTCTTGCTCTGTTTTTGATTTTTGTATTAGACTTGCAGACAGAAACTCTTGAAGAAAATAGCAAACTGAAGCAATAGCTCAAAACAGACCTAGGGACTAAGTTGTCATTGACAGAATGTGAAGGTCTGAATTTTTCCCAGAAAGCAGAAATGTAAGATGATACTACTATGCCATATATTTTTAAAGAATCAAAGCTTTTTTTGAACAAAAATAAATGAGGAGATAAAGTAAGCTATTTTTCTCTGTGAGAAGCAAAACTTTAGGCATGGGTAACGTCGAATGAATAGCATGCCAGAAATGTTATCCTGGCATCGCTCCCTGAGACTGTGTTGTATAACCCAGCTGCAACACATTTGTTTCTTCTCATTTCTCACTATGGTGACCAATAAAAGCTTCTTTACAATGAGTTAATGGAAAACTTGCCATGTACTTCAACTGGGATAGGTTTAGAATCTTTACTTGATTTTTTCATACCAAAATACAATTGTTCTGACATTCTTAGACATTTTACAGCTAAGCCCCAGTTCACCTATCTAAATTTGAAAGATTCTTCCAGCACAGAGATAAAATGGTGACCTTCTACACTTTTCTCAATTGACAACCACCATCGCGAATAGCATTTTTGTTACAGAGACTAGAATTTAGAAAGGTTTGATAGGAGATATATCTATATATATATAGCTTTGCCCCAGCTGGCACAATAGGCACAACTCACCTCTTCAAGGAAATTAATATGCCTGTTGTGTTTTGTGAAGTGCTTTTTACCTAGACAATTGTTAACAAAACCACATTTTAAATCTAACTCTATATCAAATACACACAAGTAACACACACAAGCTGGCACCATATGCATAAAGGTAATGCATGCTTTTTCATTTCAGCATCTTCTTTTCTCTACAGAATGTCATAAAATGTGCTCAGTGCCCTAAGTAAGTCCAGCGTGACTGATGCTCTGGCAGAAAAGTAGGGCACGTCTTCTCCTACTGCTCCTGTGGGTTTTTTAAATCTATTCTTTCTCTTTGTCTACTCGTAATTGTGGAATTAATTGAAACCAGTTATTTCTCACAAGTCTTTCTACAAACTGGACAAACTTTAACTTAGGCTACTGAGAAGAAAAGTCAGATAGAGAAGACAGAAACATCTAGCCTCTCTCAAGCTAGGAATTCAACTAAAAATCAAGATTTTTTCTAGGTCAATCACTTTTAAATGCAATCTAAAAACAGAGAAATGAATTAAAGTTGGTTGTCCCACTTCAGTTATATTAATCTTTTGAGTGTTCAGGGAGCCTTGCATTGCCTGTCTTTAAACCCTGGCTCTGAAAATTCCCTACTTCCTGAATCCATTCTTTCTTATATTTCAGTTTCCTGAGTGATGGTAATTAAAGCTGGTCCTTGATTATTTTGATTATGTTTAAGGACAGGAGAATTTTACAACGTTATGTGTTTCAGGAAGATGATGGCTATTAGGGAAATTGTTCGTGGTTTTCCCAGTATTGTAAAATATTATTTTTATGGACATTAATTTTCTGGCATTACTTCCTGAAGGCTTATCCTCTTCCTTCTTTCTCCCTGCCTTGCTTGTCTTATAAAGAAACTTCATTCTTAATTGTGGACCTGTATATGGGAGTCCCCACTTGCCTAGAGAGACTTTAAAGCAGTTAAAATTATATTAGCAAACTCAAGAGGAAATTAGTTTCCTGTTAGTTCATTCTATGTTTCTGTAAATGTCATGTAATTCCCCATATCTCATTCTGTTGCAAGTAAAGCAGTTTATTTCACTTCATCCTCACACATATTTACTGAAGATATAGCATGCATGCATGCCTTTATAGGTAAAGAGGGAAACAGAATCTGGAGCAGAGATGATTTATTTTGATCATTTATTTTGGTTTTTTGTTGAGGGAGAATTTAATTTATTTTCAAAATAACAAATCTGTATTTTTTTCCTGTTCCCTAGCAGTTGTTTTTGGGTACATAGAAAATAAAGTAACTGATTATACCTCCGTATGTTGTTGGGATAGAGTGGCCCTATACATATTCCTTTTGCTAATCTATTTAGGCAAGTAAACTGAAGATCTTTTCCCTTAACATATGGTTAACTATTGCCAAATAATGTTGTGCTTTGTTTTTTGTTTCTGTAGCTATCTGCACAAGAATAAATACTTGAAAGTTATCAATGAAGATGCATTTCTGGGAGTGCACAGTGGACCAACCCTCCTGTGAGTAAGAGAAAAGGAAGTAGAGAAAGCATTAAAAATGGTACTAGTTTAGGTTGCACTTTCCTTCAGAGCAGCAAGGGCGGGGAATGGCAAGTTTACAGAAAGTAATAGCAGCAACAAAAACTGTAGTTTAAGAAACTGAATTAAGAAATGTTTGTATTTTACATTAAAAATATTGTTCCTCTCAATTTTACTCCTGAAAGAGTCTCTCTGTACTACAATCCATCACATGACAGTACAATCATAGCACAATTCCAATACAAACTAAGGACTGTAGTAGCACACAAGTAAATGAAATAGAAACAGAAGTGAAAAAGAAATTTTAGACAGAATAAAGTTACTTCTGGGCTTCCAGTCTAATTTTATGGCCCTCCAGAGAACTCTCCACTGTAACTAGGAATAGCAAGTTTTGATATTCCTACTTTTTATACGCACAGAATGACACAAATAACTTTAAGAAGAAGCAAGTATTCTGAAGTATGTCCATTTGTTACATAATGTAGCGTGTAGACCCCCAATCATGGAGAACTGAGGTGCTGAAAAGCAAGATTCCTTCCTCCAGACATACTGCTGCAAAATGAGGTGGTGCTAGCAGAGGGACATTATACTTGCTGCTCACTCTGTATTAGAGTTTCACTTTATGCTCTTCAGGAGAACAGCATGAGAATAATGCTGAATTATTCCTTTACATCAGAATAATGGTGTGTGGTTCACAGAAGGAATTCTAGTAGCTAGCTATAATAATCAAAGCTGCAGAAAACAAGATTTTTCTCCCAGAATCCAGCCCACTGCAGAAAATCAAGCTTGCTACCAGCTACATAGCAGCCTACAGCAGACTGGAAGTTGCCTTGGTCATAACCTACTAAGACCAGTGCCCCTACTATGCAAAGCTGTAGCAGACATTCAATGGTAAGGTCATCATCAAATCTCTGGTTCTCTCTGCCCCACTGCATCTGAAGTCAGATGCATTATGAGGCCTGTGTAGGGACTGTAGCCTGTCTTCTGCTTAAACCATCTCAATCGCCTTGCCTTGTGGGACGAAGAGGAAGATTTGTCTGAGGACCCATCTTCTAGGGCCACACCTCTCTCTACCACAAGCTATACTGGAGTTATTACCAGAGCCCTGAGAAACAGGGTCAGAGACCAGCTCTGGTAAGTATCAAGTTTTCCTTTCACCAGCTTGAGGGGAGGAGTAAGCACAGACCATGCATGCAGTCATACTTCCGAAGCAGGTATATTAAGTAATTGGACATTTGAGGCGCAACCTATATTAATCAGCGTCGTTCCAAAAGCAAACTATGCCGAACCCCTCCTAGGACACGGGGGTGACATTTTGTCCGCACCTGACACATCACCAGCTACCCTCTTTCAGAATAGCTCAGAAAGACAGAGTCAGGAAGCACCAGTCCTACAGTCATCCTCACAGGAATACGAGGGCTAGCTCTTCTCTCCATTCAGCTTGTTCAGTCCCCTTCCTTTTGCAAAAAGCTGCTGCAGGACTGCGCGGGTCAGTAGGGACAATATTGCATCACAACTCTCACCCTAAGTTTAGTGACCCTGACTGCCAGCCAGTGGGCTGTCCCATCCAGCACTTCTCTCCTGCAAAGAGAGGAATGTAATCCAGACTTCTTCCTTTGAAGCTGCAAAGTCCTCGGGATGAGAAGAATAGGTCAAGGCAACAGCACATTGTAGTGTGTCTCCACAGATACCATCAAGGACTAACCTTTTTTCTGTGACAGAATCATCTGAGGGATAAACGTCTTTTTTTTTTTTGATGAGTGACCAGATCCTGAGACGGCAGTGAGAAGGCAGTGTTTCCTGACAGTGTCTTAAAAGTTATGTATTCTGGCCAAGAAAAACAAATGCAGACCCCAGTCCACCACCAGAAGAACTAACTGCCCATCTAGGCAGAGCAGAAAAGAGTGTTGTGGGAGCAGGAGGCAGCAGATCAGGAGGGAAATCTGAAAAAAATCACTAAGGGGCTGTTAAAACTCCTGCTCAGGGTGCCCTTGTGGCTGTCCCCCATGAAGACATGTTCCTCCTCCTTTCTGGCTGGATCACCTTCATTTTTACTGCTTCTGCCTTGTGGGAGAGCTCAGGCCACTCACCCCTTCACTGAAGTGGTCATTGTAGCACAGCTGTGACTGAGGCACTGTTTGTGCTGAGTAAGCAATTATTTCATTAGTATTTGTCTGATAAGCCCTTTTTTTTAATAGTACACATAGCACCACAGAAGACCTTTCTCATTTTGCAGCTGGCAAGAAACATTTTTCAGTTGACATCATAACTTTATTTGGATACCATGTTCCCACTACAATAAAACTTTGTCACAATAAATATATAGCCTCAAACAAACATTGTGCTGTCCTGTTATGTTTGGGGTCTCACATGGCTCACTGCACATCTTCCCTCTGGGGTTACAGGTGACGTAACGGACAAAAAAAATCCATTCCTAAGGATGGCAAAAGACAAAAGGTTAGCTCAGGATCTAAAGTCTAAAGGAGATGACAGATGGCAGCAGCAGAGATGTTGGCTTAATGGGGGCATTTAGTGCACCAGTGTAGTTACTGTGCTAGAGAGGTGTACAAGTAATGAGATGCTGGAAAGGGTTGTGGACCAATGCTTTGCTATGTAATGCTGCCAAGGTAAGCCTGCTCTGGAGGGGCAAGGTTTGAGAGGTGTGTGAGCTATGCGAAACCTCTTGGTGTAGGGGCTAGAGATTACTTCCCAGGATATTCATATGTAACTAAAGAATTTTCTTCTCCCTTCCTTCTCATGCTGTGTTTTCAAGCTAGATTTCTCAAGATGACTTGAATTATTGTGCTAGCCCAGCTAGCATTGACCTTCATAATCTCAGGACCTGTTTCACGTTTGCAGTCTAAACAGTCAATTATCCTTCTCCCAGTAGAATGATATAGCTCCATGGCTGACAATATCTATAGTAATGCTTACAATTAAAGAGGGGTATGGTAGTACAGCGACATTACAGAGAAGTATTGCTTCTCAAAGGCAGAAGGTATAGAAGGCATGTAAGTAGTAGTAAACATAGCAGTAAATGAATAGTGGTTTAAAAAGTCAGATTATTTCACTTCATGATCTTCTGACTTGCAAGTACTATAAAGCTAAAATCTTAGGAAGGGTGCAATACATGATTAATTTTTAATTTAATTTTAATGTAATTTTAATAGCAATTTCAGGGACTTCTATTACCCATGGATAGCCAGGAATTATGCCACATGTGCAGTGTATGAAGAGTTTGTTACAAAGCAAGGTGTCTTCCAAGAACAATTCAGTAGATCTCTTAGTTGATCTTGGGGGATTAGAACCATTTTAATAGGAATAAAATAGTTTTTGACACTTCCACATATGTACTAAGCCTGAAGAAGGCTAAGTCATAATGAGTGCAAACCGGGGAAGTCGTATTTATCATTATGTCATACCAATGGCCAGTAACATCTCCCATAGGAGACGGAAATGTGCTTGAAGTGGGTGCTTAATTATGTACACCCTACTACAGTAGACTAGCATTAGTCACAAAGACTAATCACTGGCTATTCACAAAGACTAATATTATGAGTTAATTACAGAGAGACAGAGATCAGTTAACTTGCATAACGACCTGAGAAGCCTGACACTATGGCCCTTCCCTGTGCCCCTCAGAAAGTGTAAATGATTTGGCTTACTTTAGTAAATAATTTGTTAGGATATTTTTGGTTTAGACATCTAGCTATCTTTACCTAGCATGGGAATTTGTGGACACTGGATCTTCCTCAAGAAGAAAGCTCCATTTACAATAGTCTTCCAACTTAATAATTACTCTGTGGAAAAGCATTGCTAGAAGATAGGTATTATTACTTCTGCTGAGGCAGTGAAAGGCATTGTCAGTAATGGGACCAGTATACAAAAAAATAATAATATTTATGGAGCTCAAAAAAAGAGAAGCTGTCTTGCCTCCCTACCAACCTCGCATTACTCATCTTCTCTGGAGTTCCCTGTATGTACTCTTGAAGTGAGATATGATGGAAAGGTTGATCAAATGCCTGCCACACAGATCTATCATTTGTTTTTTCCACATTAAGATTTCAGCAGCAACAGCAGCTTAAAGGCTGAAAGACTGACCTTGGATCAACCATAAGAGGGTAGTTTCCTTCCATTTTGATTTTAAAGAAAAGCAATGGAAAGGATTTAACTACAAAGAATTATTCTTTGTTATGTATGTATGTTGTGCGTGTTTGGGCATAGTCTCAGATCAACTACTTAGATGTGTATATTTAAGCAGATATTAAAAAGCTGGGCACATTTTTTCATAAAGTTGCAGTTCGCAAGAGCGGAAAAAAGGAGAAGTGTGATCCCTAAGGAGAGGAAAACACATGCCAATATTCTGAGCTCTCTGTCATTGCTCTTATCTTCAGATATATGTAGATGTGTATGTAGATTCTTCCCTTTGGAGCAATAATTTAGAAATATAATGTTAGCTCTTCACCTAATAATGAACTTTTGGCAAGAATTCAGAGATTCAGTGGATCTAATTTACTAAATGTATCAACAAGAGCTGCTGCCTAGAACACGAGTTCAGCAGAGTACAACAAAAATATAAACAAGTTTATTACTCAATTAGCTTTTGCAAAACATGCAGTCCAAATTCAAAATATCAGCTAACTGGCACACAAGATACAGGTGGGCCATTATCTTTAAAAAGCAGAAATGCTCTTTAAAGCTTCACTTCCCAGTTGAAGAAACAGTCCTACCTCAGGAGGGCCCTTCTGTTCCTTCCCCTCGGCACAAGCGAGTCTTCAAGCAACAGGAATACTCCACATTCTGCTAATCAAACAATGTCGATTCATAAACTGTAAAGAAAGTTTCAGTAGATAGAAATAATACCTGTGGCATAAGTAATATCGATAGTCTAAGCTCATCTATTATACATTTCGTACTTTTCAATTACTGGAGTATTTCAGTACTCAGAAATCTGAGTGTGACTAGGTAAAAATTCCCAGTTT